CTATTCATGTACAGTTATTCCACTGCAGGAAGTGCCCTCTCTCATGTTTTCATTTCATGTGAGAAGACAGAGGCACTATCAGCACTGTCTGTCACCATATTACCAGTAACCCTGAGCTTGAAACCTAATTAGGATCACCCAGACGATAGATTATCCACTTATCCCTTGAAACACTTCCCCCTTCCTTCCCCCTTTATTCACACCCCAATAACCATTTCCTTTAAAAGAAAACACGATATGGAATATTTAAAGATACAATGTATGCCTGGGGACAAGAACTATGTAAGAACTGCTTGTTATCATTATTAATTACCTAGGTGCTAGGTACATGTACATGTAATATCTTTTCAGGTGAGAAACAGAGTCACTATTTGCAATCTTTCATCATATTACCAGTAAATACTCAGGAACAGTGAGCGCTTTAGCTCTAGAAAACTTCAAAATAGCTCTGGAAAACCGAAACAGAGCTCTGGTAAAAAAAATATGAAATACTTAAATATCACTGGGTGAAAATCACTATTTTACCACACCAAATCCTATAAGAGCTTCTGCACAAACAGAAAAGTATTTTTCACACTGCCAGTAAGCCCTGAGCTAGAAACCAAATGATGATCACCCAGACAGCAGATTATCCACTGATCCTTGAAACACTTCCCCCTTCCTTCTTGATATTCTCACCCCAATTATCATTTCCTTCAAAAGAAAACATGATATCCTCTGTTCAGAGCCAGAAGGGTGTTAACTCTGTGTTGAAGCGAACAGTTAATGCCCTTCTGGCTTCAAACAGATCATACTATCAAAGATGCCTGAAAGCAGGCCTACTAATACTACAGTATGTAGCTAAGAGGGAAAAAAGTTGGACTGAGGGCAATGTGTATCCTAAACAATTATAAATAGCCCTCGTAAGTTGTAAATGATAAAAGATCCAATGAAAGAATAGTGTAAGGGGGGGGGGGGGGGGGTATAATGTAAGTTTCAATGTAGGCTATGATTCTCTGAGTTTGCTTTACGAATTACATTTTGTATTTTGACTTACATGTAGAATACACCCCCCCCCCCATACACAAGAGAGAGAAACTTTTTTGTATTAAAATTAAGATTGGTTGTGGAGGAAATTATTATCACAGGCTTGATTTGTTCTTGGTTCAAATTCTCCTGGCCTTCATATATTTTGATGTGCAAACAAAATGGGTGGAACATACATGTATGTACATATTTTCACATATTATTATTTCTTGACTTTTTTCAGAGGCATGTTCAAAGGTATCCTAGAGTTTTTGTTCATGAACAGATCTCAAGTGACTTTGAATATAATGGTATACCAGTAGATCAGAAACCTGCACTTCCTGAAGACAAACTTCGGTGACCTTATACAGGCAAACTTTGCCTACATAATTTGGCCAATAGTTCATTTGTAGGTGATAAGAATTTAGGTAAATGACCTATTGACAGACAATCAGACGCTTCATAAAAAGTACAAATTAAGGAAATATTTGCCTTGGACTGCCGAGTTGTATTTTGATTCCACTCCTTGTTATCTTTACTGACAAATCATAAAAATGCTCAGAATTGGGAAGGGTGAAAAAGATTCCTTTGTTCTAATTTCCATGAAAACAAATAAGACTGTTCAGACCATAGCACAGGTGATTTACACAAAAGTCGTATAAAGAAATGTTATATTTTAAAGAATCATCATATTTACATTAAGTACAAAAGGAGCGTACAGACTAGAAAACAACATCATGTAAAGAAACGTTGTACCCAACTAATTTTGACGAGGTACATGTAAGTCGTCATGACTGCCGACCAATCATTATACGCGACGTACGTGCTCATGAAAAGCCCAGCCCAGTAATAGGATATTTGTATGTTACAACGGTCGTTCAGACTACAGCAGAATCTGATTCTTTATCAACTTTTTGTTCAAAACAATGCCTAAACACATGTGTTTCGCTACTCAATGTTTCGTTATTCAACGTTCAGACTATGACCACTGCAATTATTATGTATACGGTAGCTATATGTAAGATCATATAGCTTTGGTATACAATGAATGCTGGTAGTCTAACGCATGTTGAGTTTTCTTCTGCTAGAGAAGCTGTTCTAAAGCACGATATTATGGTTTAAACAAAAGGAATACAGTATACAAGCTGGCTGTTCCTACCTGAAAAGCACATTTTAGCAGGGCATACATTGTACATGGACTGCATGACCAGTCGACTCTATCAATGATTCCATTTATAATTCAACTACCGTAGACAAGGCATTCATTCTGCATAATCTAGGCCAGATGATTAATAGAGGATACAAATGGCCTAGGATATTGTCCAACGTGAAGAACAATATTTAGGCAACTTGTTTGGTCAGCTTTCATCATTGTGGTCCATTGGTCTAATCAGAGATATATCTTTGTCAGTAAAAGCAGACATCTACATGTGTGTACTTCATACTTATGACCTTTTTTCTTCTTCAAATATAGGGTTAAAAAGAGATTCAGGGACACTAAAAGCTTCTTTGCATAGCACTCATAACTTAAGGTTATTAGCACTTGAACTCTACAACACAAGACACAGTCTAAACCAGGCACCTTTATAAGGCCCTATATCTGAGGCGGATCAACTCAGGGCAATGTGACACATCTTATGCTATTCCATGAATATTATTAGGTCAAATCAAGGAGTTACCAGACACTTAAAGGTACTATGTCCCTTTTGCAGCCAACCTCAAATGCTATAGGACTTTGCAGGAATTATGAATATGTCACGTATATCCTATCTATGAAATTTAAACGTTAGCAGTGTCCTCATATTCAAATTATGCAAGGGAAACCGTTTACTTGCTAGACTTCACTGTCAGACACTATTGAGTGACTGACTGGCTTTTTTTCTTCTTTGGTAATAACATACATGTTCATGAAAAAAGTTGTAAAGGGTACATGAGCATTTGTCTACATCAATAACCTACTTCTTTTGATGGCCAAGATTAAACTGATTGAATCTTTGTGCAGCATAAAACGTATGACCATTCGGTACATTTGTCTGAAAATCAAGACTATTACTTTTGGGCTCTATAGCCCTAAAGTCGATTTGACAACTACCTGTAATAGTCGTTATTTTCCCACTTAAAGACATTTTCAAGCCCCACCTTTTTTAGGGAAGTTCTAAATTAGTATTATCTTTCAAATGCAGTTGGAATTTAATTTTTTAATTTTTTTGGCCTGCAAATGGGACATAGTCCCTTTAATATACACTGCTTCCTAGACATAAACAATTTCACCATCTCAGTGGTTTGGGCTATCTCATTGCTTGTTTTAACTCCTGGTTAATACCCCCCCCCCCCCCCCCCCAAAAAAAAAAAAAAAAAAACAAAAACAAACAAACAAACAAAACAAAACAAAACAAACTGTATCACAAATGTATTATCAGGTCACTGCGGTTAGATCAGAGAGGGATATTTATGATCATAGGGCACCATTGGGCTTAATTTGCACAGTTATGCATACAGGGTCAGAAGTTAATTTGATTACAGGCTTTATAGCACTCCATGTCCGCTCATACATGTATGGAAGAGAGACAAAGACATACCTAACTTTCCACTCATTTCAAATGAAGTTTCCTTGAAAAGTTGACTATACTAATTGTAAGCCACATACAATCTTTTGTTTGTACTTATAAATCAATTTCATAAAGGGCAATCAATACCTGTGTCTCTATTGTTGAAGCAATTGTCACAATACTATAATAAAGAATAGATTATGAAATATTTTCAAGCTGAATAAACCCACACAAAAGCCATAAGTAAAACAGAAAAAGATGACCTCATCGACGATGGAACCTAAAATCATGTACAAGCTGTCCTCATGACAACCATAGTCATCTGTAAGTACAGCATATATACAGTATTAGATATATTTTGCAAAGACATATTAGATACATGTAGTACATCTAACACAAGAAAAGACTTGCCATCTGATTATCCACATGAAGAATACCAGTATCTTTCGTAAATTTGATGTTTATATGTTGTGCCTTCTTGCTCTATGCATATATTGTCTGCTCAGAACCAGAAGGGTGTTATACCTGTGTGTTTAAAGTACATGTGTATATGATTTAATTTCCTTCTCGCTCCAGATAGACATTACTAATGCTGTTTATCCAAGGGCGGTGTCTTGTATACAACTATACATGCACATGTACATGTACATGGGATACTTGAAACCAACATTTGACTGATTTATCCAATTCCAATGCTTCTTGTTTGGGATTAATACAAGTCTGTTGTTGTGATCCAGAGAATGATACTGTTCATACCATATGCAGCCATGGCTACTACCTTCAATCATCACACTAATGGGAAGCAGATGGGAACAAGATGCTTCACTTCACAGTCCATGGAAGGGGATATTAAAGGATGGAGAGGACAAGACGGAGGAAGACAGTGAGAGAAAGGGTAGGGAGAGGATAAGATAGAGATATATTGAGGGGGGAGGGGGAGAGAAGAGAGAGAGACACACAGAGAGAGAGAGAGACAGAGAGAGAGACAGACAGGGAGAGGGAGAGGAAGAAGCAGCAAAAAGCAAGCTGGATGGGAGGCAAGAGAATGTAATTACAGTATAGAGGGAGAGAGAGAGAGAGAGAGAGAGAAAGAGAAATAGAGAGGGGGACAAAGAGAGAGAGGGACAAAGAGAGAGAGGGAGAAAGCATGAGAGGGCAGTATAGAAGGGACGTACAAACGTATAGATACCTCCACACAGAGAACAAAGAGAGAGAGACAGCAAGTATCACGCATCATGTATCATGAAAGAACAAAATCTTCAGGAAATAGACAGTCAGAGAAAAGGTTGAGGAGAAAGTACTCAAGTAGAAATAGACATACAGTAGTGTAGACATCAATTGAAAGACAAGAAAACACCACACATAATGTACAGGCTAGCATAAACAGAACTGAGTAATCTGAATGAGAGGAATTCTATATATTAATTGACATGAAATCATACTTACTGTGAACTTTGACCTTTGTTCCATGACCTCATATCCACTGATAGGAACATAGAGTTCATCTAGATGATCATCCCCTTCTTCCTCATTGTTCTCAAAGACCAGGGGCGAGTAGCCCAGGATGGAACCTGCCACGTTACCCATCCTCTCTACCTGCTCCCAATCGCAATCCTCCTCCTCTTCTTCTTGTTCACTGTATTCCCTATTCTGATTACCGGTATAATTCCTTGTGAACTGGCTCGGATACCTCTGACTAACTCCCAGAGGTGTAGAAGTACTGTGAGGTCCCCTTCCTGCAGAAGAGGCTGAACCTGCAGTAGGTGCAGTACTGTTCTCGGCACGATTGGTTGTAGGTGTACTGGTACAAGGTGTAGTATTGGCGGCACTACTGTGATGTGATGAGGCTCCAGCTCCCTGCGCTAGAGTATGCTCACCCCTTGACTCATGGATGCTTGTTACTGTTCGACCAGACACGCGAGTAGTACCTTGTTGATTGATTTCAGCTCTACGACTGACTGATGTGACATCAGCACCAGCTGTAGCAGCAGAACCCTGACTGTCTGTCCTCTCGCCTGAGAGGGCGCCATGCTCATGACTGGATTGGCAGGATTGGGTAGTACTGGAGTGGGGTTGGTTTGTGATGTCTGAACTGGTTTGATCGGTAAGGCTCTCGGGGGTCGCCTCCTCGGCAACCAAGACTTCTCCTTCGCTGTCTGACATCTTGATGTCTGGTGACTCAGTCAACTTGGATACTTCACATAGCTCTGTGATATAAAAATGAAAGAACAAAAACATTCTCTCAATGAAAGAAAGATATTTTTTCAATGCTATAAATTTGTCTTAACAATGTACATGTATATACATGACTTGATACACAGACTTGAAATCTTAGTTATACATGTACACTACCGCTCAAAGGTTTTGGCATCGGTTCCGCTCCGTAAACCGCACCGAACTGTGTACGGTGAACGGCGAGGATCCGTTCACCGTACGCCCAACTTCGGTTCCTCACCGTTTGCTCACCGTTTGCTCACCGTACGCTCACCGTTTGCTAACCGAGGAATTGTGGTTAATAACGACAAAAAATGTGCGCGCTAAGTCTGCGAGCGCGTATCCAAAGAACTCTCAAAAGTTGCACACGCGTACGCGGAAAGTCAAGTTATTTGTTTTATTTTATCATACCGATGCGCGCTTGCCACTGACGTCACAATCAGTTTATTATTACATCACAATAGTGTGAAAGAATACTCTTTTCATTCCGAGCATAAACACACGACATAATGATACGAAAATGATTATTTACTTGATGGCATTCCCGACAGAATGATACGAAAATGATTATAAAGTTGATTTCATTGCCAAGACAATGATACGAAAATGATTATTTACTTGATTTCATTGCCGACAGAATGATACGAAAGTGATTAATTAAATGATGTCAATGCCGACAGAATGATACGAAAATGATTATTTACTTGATGTCATTGCCGACGGAATGATACGAAAATGATTACTTAGTTGATTTCATTGGCGACAGAATGATACGAAAATGATTACTTACTTAGTTGATTTCATTGGCTAGACATTGATACGAAAATGATTATTTTCTTGATTCCTCAAAACATAAATAAAAATGTGTGTGTTATTGTGAGTGAGTCATGTATGGGGATTTCTATTTTTTGATCTGTATGAATGGAAATTGCCGATTGACTGACTTGATTCCACAAGTTCGGACGTACTGCACATGATGGTCGTTCACCAGACTAGAAAGGGAAAGGTAGCGCGTACATCTACATAGGCTTAGCCAACCAGGCATTGTTTGTAATTAGCTGAAAAAAATGTTCTTTGATAATGAGAAATAACGAGTTTGGGTTGGATTTCACAATACCATCATTATTTCAGAATAATTGTTGAATATTTGAATAACGAAGAGCCTTTATTTCAAGAGGTAAAAGCAGCCACAAATACATTGAACATTATAATGGTCTGATAAACTTAAACTACCCCAGCGTGTAACCTAGTAACCCGAAGACAAAACAAAAGCAAGCAAGTTCATTCATCGATACGCGAGGCACGCAAGTTTGATAATTACATAGGACATGAGTTGTTAAAATATTCCCATACCGCTTTGCTCATTCTGGTTTGAAAATACAAACGACCCAACTAAGAATAAACAAGCAGCTGCAGATTTTTAAGCTACAGATTGATAAAGTATTGCATACTTACCTGATTCTATGACGGGATCCCACTTTTAGAATATCCATGTTTAACGATAAATCCGAAAATCAGATGAAAGTTATCCGAAAGATTAATTCCCTTACACACGTCGTTGGAACCATCAATGGTATAGAAGCTAAAAGTCTAGTTTCGGACACAAGAATTCCATTTTAAAACCACTACAACAACGATTCGTACAATCTCGTTCTTGCATCTCGAAATGCTGATTTTCAGATGACAAGTTAGCTCTTCTCACTGGCTAAATAATAATTTGCAAGTTTATTTTTTAAAGCAAATATTTGCTTGTTTTCAGTTGTCATTTATGGTATGACGTCTGAATTGGCAGACTATACAAGCCCATTCAGTTTGAGCTGGCTGGGGCGTGTCATATTTCTTAGATAAGAACTGTCAAAACATGTCTGGGAAATGTAATCACGTAAAGGAGGGAGAGAGAAGGAGAGAGAGAGAGAGAGAGAGAGAGGGAGAGGGCAGAGAGGGAAGTAGAAAGACGGGGTAAGGTAGAGGTGTGGAGGACAGTGACCTCAATGTCATTTACTTGTTAATCGATCAATGTCTGACGGGACTTGTAAACATCCATGAAGGGTGATGTCTTCAGATGACCAATCAAAGAATAAAGGATAAAAGGGAAGGGAAATACATGTAGATATTAAAGATTAAATGATATCAGAGATAGGAAATATATGGAACGAAGAGGCGACTGTAACGGGATAAAGTATACAAGGAAATATTTAAATAGATGGGAAGAATCAGAAACTGGATAAGAATAAAGGATTCGTGGGAGAGGAAATCTACATGGGAGGAAGAGGAGACTTGATATAAATAAAAGGGTAATAGGACGAACACCCCCGGCCAAGGCAGTTATCCCCTCCCCCTCGGAAAATTACCCCCTTTGATTTTCAACCCCCCCCCCCCCGAAAAAATGCAAATTATCATCAGGGTGGACTTCCCCTTCATTGAACGGGGGGGGGGGGGGGGGGGGCGTATATTTGTCCTTGGGGCATATTTGTCCTAGGGGAGCTAATTCTCCGTGGATATTCGTTCCGGGGGGGGGGGGGGTATTTGTCCTCGGATGTTATAGCCCACGGGAGTTATCGTTCCTGGGGGGGGGGGGGGGGGGTGGTTGTCCGAAGGTTCGTATTTCCGAAATATGTAATAGGGTTCATAATCCGAAAATGAAATAGTGTCCATAATTCCGAAACTGGAAAAAGGTACCTAAAAAAAAAACGAACATTAATGAATTCAGTAGGCCGAGACGGCCCACCCCCCCCCCCCATAATACTTAAGATATCCTAAATAACTGTAGAGAGAGAGACATAGACGGGGAGAAATAGTACAATAGAATGTTATAAAGGACAAATAAAAAAAGGAAAGGAAGGAATGAAGGAAGAGAGGAATATTAGAAAAGGAGGGATAAGAGCGCAATCGGTGATATAGAGTGAAAGGTAGAAGGGGGTATCATTATTGATTGATTAATAAGGTGATAATCGGAGGTCCGAGGCCATCTCACCGATTTCGTTTTATTTTCTGATTCATTTATTGTTTGTTCGTTTTGTTGCTATTTATTTATTTGTTATTGGCTCCCCCTCCTCCCTTTTTCTTGTATTTATGGGATTGACCGTCTCCCGTTATTATGGAAACAAAATATACATCATATTACCCCCCCCCCCCTCCCGCTGGATCCGCCAATGCTAGTGTTTACAAATAAACTTGATTAATTTTAAAACAAACAAAACGAAACAGGTCAATATATTTCACGAGTTGTATACAAAAAATAGTTACAATAAAGGATCTCCTTCTTCCCCCTTTCTATTCTTCTTCCTCTCTTCTTTATTTCCCTTACCCTTATTCTCATTCTCTCTTTCTCTTTTATTTTGGCGGGGAGGGGGAGGGGGCCAAGCACACTCCTTCCCCTGGATCCGCGCCTGTATTTCAGGCTTTTCTTGAGCGTTTTTAAATAAACCACGTCCGCCTTCTAATGTCAGCTAGTATGCTTTGAATCTTACCTAAACATTGAAAATGGATAATTTTGTTAATATTTTCTCTTCATGTGTAGCCTGATAACCCAGGCAATACCTCATTTGCACTCAACCATTAGAAAGAGAAGACGATAGAAGTCAAGCAACATAACATATGGAAAGATAGAATTATTTGGCGGCCGCCAAATAATCTATCTATATTTCCGTACGTTATGATGCAGATAGAAAGAGAAATAAAACAAAGAATAACATGAGAGATAGAAAGAGAAGATAGCGAGATAGAAAGAGAAGATAGAAAGATAAAAACAAAGAATAATGACAGGAAAGAACAGAAGATAGAAAGGAAAACAAAGAATTTCAAAATGAAAATAGAAAGAGGAAATGATAGAAGTATAAAAGCAAAGAGTAACATACGGAAAATAGAAAGAGAAGAAGGTGGAAGGATAAAAACAAAGAATAACATAAGAAAAGGTAGAAAGTGAAGAAGATACAAGGAAAATAACATAATCATGATAAGGAAAGATAGAATTATCTGGCGGCCGCCAGACAATTATGACTTGGTTCGTAAGTATATGTAAATTGTATTGGAATGGGAACAATACAGTTCAGTTCATCTGAAGAGAGAGAGAGAGAGAGAGAACCCCTTTCATGAGCGCATAGTCACGCGCGGTGTGAAGTTGGCAAGGCTCCAAGAAGTAAGGTCTTAGCGTGGGAACCATAACTTTCTCCCTGCCTGGGTGAGACCGTACATTGCGTAACATGCACTTTCTCTGTCATCAAGTCACTCAGCAATAGATTAAGATAAGAGTCAGTCGTTGAATGATATAATTATGTCAACAAGATAAGAGATACCGTAATTTGTTTCTCTTGAGACTTGGTGGAATGTGACAAGGGCCACGCGAGTTGAATAAATCAAGTTTAGGGTTGAACTATATTTGCGATATTTTCTTAGTCTTGCTTGCTATTATATTATTAAAAAATTTGGTCTTGCTATATTACTCAATCATACTCGACAGGATAATACGAAAATGATTACTTACTCGATGTCATTGCCGACAGAATAATAGGAAAATTATTATTTACTTGATGTCATTGCCACCAGAATGATACGAAAATGATTATTTACTTCGATGTTATTGCCGACAGAATGATACGAAAATGATTATTTACTTCGATGTCATTGCCGACAGAATGATACGAAAATGATTATTAACTTGATGTCATTGCCGACAGAATGATACGAAAATGATTATTAACTTGATGTCATTGCCGACAGAATGATACGAAAATGATTATTTACTTCGATGTCATTGCCGACAGGATGATACGAAAATGATTATTTACTTCGATGTCATTGCCGACAGGATGATACGAACATGATTATTAACTTGATGTCATTGCCGACAGAATGATACGAAAATGATTATTAACTTGATGTCATTGCCGATAGAATGATACGAAAATGATTATTTACTTCGATGTCATTGCCGACAGAATGATACGAAAATGATTATTAACTTGATGTCATTGCCGACAGAATGATACGAAAA